GCACGCAATTTTAAGGCTTGACATGTTTAGTGTCTTTTTACCCGACGTGACCCCATCTTTTATATTTTACCAAAAAATTGGGTAATAATAAATGTTTTATCATTTAATATAGGGGAAACTTTTTTTTTTTTTTAAATTTCGGTAATTTTTCCTTAATATAGTAAAAAAATAAAACCCCCAGTGGTGAATAAATACCACCAAAAGAAAGCTCTATCTGTCCCCAAAAAAAGGTATAAAATTCATTTCAGTACAGCGCTGCATGACGGAATAAATGTCAGTTAAAGTACCGCAGCGCTGAATACTGAAAAATGGCCTGGATGGGAAGGGGGTTTAACACCGCGGATGTCAACTGGTTAAGGAGCCATCTGATGCCTGAATACAAGGGACAACAGTCCCTTGTATAAGCATTGCCAAAAGCTTCCCATTCTTATCACCTTTCTTATATAAAGCCTCGGACTGTCTAGTAATAATAGAACGAGTCACGGACTGATGATGGAGTAGTAGTTCTCTGCGGACCCCTAGTAAGTGTCAGAGCGTATCTGAGGACGGAACCTCAGTGTGAGCAGCCGCACTTTCAACCTCTCGACTTTGAAGCTGAGATCATTCAAAATGAGAGACTGCCTCAAAATGAGAGACTGCCTCAAAATGAGAGACTGCCTCAAAATGAGAGACTGCCTTAGCATATTTAATTGCAGAAATATATTCACCCCTGGTAGTGGCCTTGAAGGCATTCCAGACCACAGTCTCAGTAGCGGAAGCTTGATTTATGGACCAGACGGTAGAGAAGTGGGGTCACAATGAAGTCTCAACCGTATCATTGGAGAGCCAAGCCTGCGCTGAGTGGGCAGACCGCCCTTTAGTCACTGTGATTCTTACAGATAACGGTAAATGGTCGGCGAGGCCCCCAGGTAAGTAGGTAGAGTCTAACACCTTTGTCAAGTCTTCTTGATGTGGTGGTCATGTGACCCGAGTTTGGACATGTTTAGGATGGCTCCAATGTGTCAGATTTAAGTTCCACGTTTACTTCATAAGTTCAGAATTCCTGAAGAGATTAAATAATGTAACAGTAGGAGGTCCCCAGAGATTCAGGAGCTTCCTATAGTCAAGTGCGGTACTTCCTGTCCCATCTCCTGAGCTTCTGTATTGGTCAATGTGCTCAGGAAGTGGGAGGGGCATGACCAAAATAGACTTTAATGGGAAAAGTCAAGATTTGCATATAACTTCAGCTAGTTTCATATCAGCTTTTTAATCTTGTGCTCAGGTGTGACAGATATAAAAGACACAAATATATAGAGCCACTTACAGAGTATCTGAGGTCCATCGGGTTCAACTATTGTGAGTCTCTGTGTGTTCCAGTCATTAGTAGTACCGGTACCCCTGTGTGTACTATACACATACCAGGACATGCTGATTGTCACTGATCATACCATTGACATGACCAAAACCCATGAAATAGTCCTTTATCATTCCCTCACTTTGCATACTATTGATGTTAGACTGACTGCTCTAGTTCCCAGGTTGGCATCTTGACCTTTTTTTGGGTAGCTCTACGCCAATCACTTGGTACCCTTTCAGTCATTATGGAGTCCTTGAAGATGAGGAATAATGGTCGGGCTATAACCTGGCTGAGCTCTGTACCACTGCCGTATATTCCGCACTAAGCGCCTCACAATCATATAATTAAACCCGTCCTTCTCTGGAGTGTATACTGAGGAGAATGAATGGAATAGTTCATCCTTCTCCCTGTTCATGATTAATCCGTCCTGCTCATGTTTGATGGGACCCTCCTCTTCCTTTCTCACCTTTTTACTGTATATATCGGAATTATTTTTGGGGTTCAGCTCTCCTGCCTGTGGCGATATGTTTTGTGTATTCTATGACACTCCTTGTAGTTCTGGAATGTCGGTGCCGTCCCCTCCATGTCACCTTCCTCTCATTCATATGTTACATGGCATTGTGTAAAACATTCTCACGTCTCCTCCGTGTTTCTGGTCACAAGTAATTTGACTCATTGGGTATTGTACTGTAATAACCTGACTGGATATTAGAATCCCCTGCACACAGCAGGTTTGGAATCCAATAAGCATGCTGACTGAGCAGAGAGATGACCTCATCAGGCTACTGTTGCTGCTTCACTGTCCAATCAGCAAGCTGGAAGTGGGGAGATGGCGCCTCCTGCAGTTTATGTCTGTAGCAGGGAAAGAGGTATCATGTAACTAGCTGTGCGGCATGGCAGTGGAAATCTCAGACCTGGATAGACAATTACTGTGTCAGGTAGTTGGATGCTGCCCTGGACCCATATAGAACCATAAACATCCGTTCAGTTGTAGCTCAGAAAAGAGAACGATGTTTCCTTAGGGTTAGGGTCGCTCCTGGTTTTAGAGGTGAGAAGTTGACGAAGTTGCTCAACAAACGCTCTTTATTTCTGATATCTTTCTTCGGGAAATATTTCACAGGAAGTTGGTTGTGTAACTCAGTTCTTGTTTGTAACATTTCACACATAATATGATAATAAATTGTGTACACCCCGAAGTCATCATGTGGAAACATCTGAAATCTTTTTTCTTTTCATATGCAGATTGAAGAGACATTGGACAGATGAAGCAACACTGACCCCTTCAGGATGAAGATGGAAGTGCAGATTCCGGGCCCTCCAGGCTGGATGGTTGTAAAGGAAGAAGCCACCAAACTCTAAGTCTATATGTGGCCTCCTGTGTGTCTCGGGATTCACACATTCCTGGAAAGGATCTTTTCTACAGTTGATACTCAACCTCAGTTCTAAATTTCCAAAAGTTTGGGAAAAACTCTGCAAAATGGATGGAGTGACACACCAGCATCACTTCAGCCGCCTGTACCGGGAATACCAAAGCAGCAGCGTCATAGCTCTGCATTACAACTACACGGGGAAGCTGACCACGAGCCGCTACAAAGGTGGACTGAAAGCCGAAGCTGTGGTCTTCCTGGTGGTGTGTGTGCTTATTGTCTTGGAGAATCTTATTGTACTTTTAGCCATCTGGCGGAATAAGAAATTTCATGCTCCGATGTTCTACCTCCTCGGCAACCTGACTCTATCGGACCTTCTGGCTGGCATTGCCTACATGGTGAACATTGTGTTATCTGGGGCAAACACGCTCCGTCTGACCCCTGCCATGTGGTTCATCAGGGAAGGGGGTGTCTTTGTCACATTGACTGCCTCCATATTCAGCTTAGTGGCCATCGCCATTGAGCGTCATATCACCATGGTCCGTATGAAGCTCTATAGTGGGGAAAAGAAAGGACGCATGGCCTTGTTGATTGGGGTGAGTTGGCTGCTCTCTATACTGTTGGGAATATTGCCAATATTGGGATGGAACTGCATGCAGAAGCTCCCCGCCTGCTCCACCATCTTACCTTTGTATTCAAAGGATTACATATTGGTGTGCATCAGCGTCTTCCTGGCCATTCTCATCTCCATTGTGGTCCTTTATCTCCGTATATACAGGATTGTCAAACACAACAGCCAGAGACTGGGAACACTCCGCAAGGGGGCTCTGAGGAAGTCCCAGAAGTACATGGCCTTACTGAAGACGGTGACTATAGTGGTGGGAACCTTCATTGGATGTTGGCTCCCACTCTTTATATTGCTCCTGTTTGATGTCTCGTGTGAGGTTAACTCATGCCCAGTTCTCTTCAAGGCCGATTATTTCCTTGGTCTGGCCATGATAAACTCTTTATTGAACCCGATCATCTACACGCTGACCAGCAGAGACATTCGAAGAGCCATTCTAAAGCTGCTTTGCTTCTTCTGTCTTGTGAACGAGGATGGAGAAGCTCGAGGAAGATTCAGCTTTTTCCCCGTCCTAGAACAAAGTACCAGCAAGTCAGAGAAGTCATCCCATAAGCAGGAAGGCTTGGAGACATCAGGGAACGGGACCCCAACACCAGTCAAGTCACTTGTGACCCCTCGAAAGTTCTGAACATTGTTGTAAACGGGAAATCATTTCAAATCCTCCGACCTGTGTCACTCCTGATCTGCTCCGATTCTGGAGGACACCAACTCTGCTCCTGAATCCAATTCTGGAGGACACCAACTGCTCCTGAGATTCGATTCCCGGAGGACGGCAACTGCTCCTGAGATTCGATTCTGGAGGACACCAAGTCTGCTCCTGAGATCCGATTGTGGAGCACACCAAGTCTGCTCCTGAGATCCGATTCTGGAGGACACCAAGTCTGCTCCTGAGATCCGATTGTGGAGCACACCAACTGCTCCCGAGATCCGATTCTGGAGGACACCAAGTCTGCTCCTGAGATCCGACTCTGGAGGACACCAAGTCTGCTCCTGAGATCCAATTCTAGAGGACACCAAGTCTGCTCCTGAGATCCGATTCTGGAGGACACCAAGTCTGCTCCTGAGATCCGATTCTGGAGGACACCAAGTCTGCTCCTGAGATCCGATTCTGGAGGACACCAAGTCTGCTCCTGAGATCCGATTCTGGAGGACACCAAGTCTGCTCCTGAGATCCGATTCTGGAGGACACCAAGTCTGCTCCTGAGATCCGATTCTGGAGGACACCAAGTCTGCTCCTGAGATCCGATTCTGGAGGACACCAACTCTGCTCCTGAGAACCGATTCTGGAGGACACCAACTGCTCCCGAGATCCGATTCTGGAGGACACCAAGTCTGCTCCTGAGATCCGATTCTGGAGGACACCAAGTCTGCTCCTGAGATCCAATTCTAGAGGACACCAACTCTACTCCTGAGATCCGATTCTGGAGGACACCAACTGCTCCCGAGATCCAATTCTGGAGGACACCAACTGCTCCCGAGATCCAATTCTGGGGGACACCAACTCTGCTCCTGAGATCCGATTCTAGAGGACACCAACTCTACTCCTGAGATCCGATTCTAGAGGACACCAACTCTACTCCTGAGATCCGATTCTAGAGGACACCAACTCTACTCCTGAGATCCGATTCTAGAGGACACCAACTCTACTCCTGAGATCCGATTCTAGAGGACACCAACTCTACTCCTGAGATCCGATTCTAGAGGACACCAACTCTACTCCTGAGATCCGATTCTAGAGGACACCAACTCTACTCCTGAGATCCGATTCTAGAGGACACCAACTCTGCTCCTGAGATCCGATTCTAGAGGACACCAACTCTGCTCCTGAGACTTCTGAGCTGCCACCTCCACTGCAGAGCTCCCACTGTGCCGATACCAGCCACATGCACACACCTTCAGGTCCTGAAACGTGTCCCCCCTCCAGGGTTCTGGGATTTTCCCGGCTGATATCTTATTGAAGGAAAGATCAGTAAATAAATTCAAACTACATT